CCCCCCCCAGGGCTTGCTCCTGGGCTTAACAGAAACTGCTAGCCCTTTCCCCCAGACTTACCCACCAGAAACCATGGCTTTCTACCTTAGGACCTAACCAGAAAACACTGTGCTTCATTTCAGAAAGGGTAGAAAGGCTTGGATGCAGTTTCATGCTTGTACATGGACCAAGCTTTGTGTCCCATCAGGGTTGCCAGCTCAGGGTTGGGAAATACCTGGAGACTTTGGGGGCTAGGGTCTAAGGAAGGTGGAGCTGGGGGAGGGGAGGGACTTCAATGGGGTGTAATGCCATAGAGTCCACCTTCCAAAGCGGCCATTTTCTCCAGGTGAACTGATCTCTGTTGCCTGGAGATCCGTTGTAATAGCAGGAGATCTCCGGCCACCACCTGGAGGCCGGCCTCCCTAGTGCCCCAGGACCCAGGAAATCCAGCCCCCAACCCTGCCCTGGTGCCCAAGATCCCCATGTTATTTTTATCTATTTATACAGTCCCATCTTGGGGACCCTATTTGGGCAGAAATGTAGCATATCGATGTTCTAAGTAGAATAAACAAATATTTTGAACTTGCAATCCTAGCAAATGCAGCCGGTATGCTTCCTTAAAGGCAACTTGATTGCTGCCTTTGGGGAGGGGTCACAGCAAATCCTACTGCCGCTCCTGCTGCGTGCCTTCATCATTTTTATATCCCACTGGAGATGCATGAGAAACTCACCTGGAACAGCCCAGGCACGAGTATGTGCAGAGTTCCAGAGCATAGGGATGCTCTTTCTTAAACTGTACCTCCACCCTGAAGTGTGGTGTTGTTTGGGGGCAATGTTTTGGATTACCTTTACCTATTACACACTGAGCTGGGGAACAGGGAACCATATAGGAGGGGACTAGCACCATTTTGTACTTTGGATTTGGCATACAAATCAATTCGTTTTGCCAATGACAGAGGGAGGGGCCTTATTCCCCCCTCTTGGCCCCTGTATCTGCTTTGAACTCTGGACTAGCCTTGCCATGACCTCTTGAGAAGCCCTCTCTGATTATTGCTGCCTCCTCAATAAGCGAAATATACTTCCTGGAATGTTATTGCTTCAGATTGCAGGTTATGGTTGCCAGGTCCTTACCTTGTTCCAGTGAGGGGGTTCCTCTCTTCATCCTGGAGACTTTGTAATAGCAGGTAACCATAGAAGTTTTCCCCCTCAAATGCTAGAGCGTCCCCCACACACACACACAACGTGCCCTGCGTGATGAAGTCACCTCTGGGTGGATGTCATTGTGCTGGGCACGTCAGCGCGGACAGATCTGCTCGGGGATGGGGCTCCCCTGCCAGCCAGTTGAGCGGTGGCGGATTGGGGCCCCCAAAAGCAGGGGAAACCCCGCCCCCATACTGCAGATGGGAAGTCAGATGAGCGAATGTTCCACAGGAGCCAAATCATTAAATAAATAAATTAAGTTCTTCAGAACCAGCTTTTCCTTTGCTCACAGTGGGAACTGTGAGTAGGGATTCCAGGGAAAACCAGTAGTGGGAAGGGACCAGGAAAAACTAGATGTCAGTCATAAAACCTACTTAGAACCATTTTCCCTGAGGGGGAAAAAGGCCTTTGTGGAATGTATTCTTCATATAAAAGAGCATTCCCTCACATGAGCCACAGTCTGCAGCCTGGTGGTATTGAGGACAATCACCTCAGTCAGGCCTTTTTGGAAGTGCTGTGTTGGGAAGCACTTGAGTCATTGAGAAGGCTATTCCACATAGTTTGCAGGCTGGGTCAGAGTCCATCTAATAGCTACTTATAATAGCAAGCAGCATGTTTATGACCAGAAGGTGAGAGGCAACTCACTGTAAGCACTGTCCTGCAGGAACAGTTCTACATGTAAGTATTTTAAATCCAAATATATACAAATTTAAATTAGTGTGCTAGAGATCTGGATCGTAATGTTCTTACAGGAAAATAAAGCGGAGAGAGGGAACAGCTAACTGTAGTTTAAAACCTAAGTTCTAAATTTGTAAACTGAAACTACCTGCACAGGAACTGTGACTGGATTGCTGAAGGGAAGGAACTGTGGGAAGCCAGGAATGTCTTGAATGTCCCCCCCCCCCCCAATGCAGTACTAGCCATGTTTATTTGATTTGTTTTAAAAAGATTTGTTTGATGTGATGGGGGTTGGGAAGGAATCCTGGCTGGACATTAGCAGTGCATCCACTGACCCAGGGGCTTCAAAAGGAAAGCCCTTTACAAGAGGCATCACTCCCTTTTGAAATTCCCAGGAAAAGCTTCTGTTCAAGGAATGTTGCTGCACTTAAAGTTACATTTTAGAAATATGAAGTAATGGATTAACAGGTCTAGAGGCACATTTCTAAGGCTTCATAACCAGACACAACCCTAGTTGCTAAGGTAACGATACCGTGTCAGTAGTTTTCTTGGAGAGACACATAGAAAAGTGCAAAAGCGCCACAAACATCTTCTTCCTCACTATGGCCTGTGGTTTTCTGTTACCACCCCATTAATTGGACTTCTGAGTTGCAACTGAGGTGCCAGATTCAACCCATGGGTCCCCACTGCTGGTCCCATAAACTAATGTCAGTGTCAGTTCTGAAGTAGACCAGCTTCTCTGAAATGGCTTTGTGTATATACTGTCCCTCTGTGAGATCTGGGAATATGTTAGAGCTGCATCAAGACTGCTTGTGATTCGGCTTTGTTGGCGAGTGAGTTGAGCACGTTACAGGCGCCTTGTTCTTCCTGAAAGAAACATTGGCACACTGAAACAATACTGCTCCCCCTCGGGGGTCGGTAGCTGTTGGGTTTCTTTTTGCATGTTATAATGAACGCAAATTCCTTTGTAGGGGTATTACCAGAAGATGGCTTTCTCAGTCTGATTAACTGACATTCAATGTTCCCTCTAAGCTATGGAGTCTTGTAAGCAAACATTCTACTTTGTGAGCTACCGGCATGAAAGTTGTGAGCAGGAGATTTGGCTGCTGCATACATTAGTTTGCTCTGGGTCAGTCTGATTAACTGGCATTATCAGGTTTGCCAACTGTGAGTACAAATACACCAAAGTGATGATTTCATTGTAAGAGGCTAAAAAACAGTGAACTAGCTCACACTAACTCAGCTTAGCGGGAACCTTGCTGACATTATCAGGTTTGCCAACTGTGAGTGCAAATACACCAAAGTGATGATTTCATTGTAGGGCTGCCCCCCATGTCTTGCCCATAGCCAGAGTGATCCTGCAATAATGTAGATTTTCCTCCTCCTTCACCATGCAGACTGCCTTCAAGGTGGCAGTAAACTGGTGAGTAAGCAGAAGCTTAATTTGTGGATCTTCTTTCTCCTCCTCCTCCTCCTCTTCTTCTTCTTCTGGAGAGCCAGTTTGGTGTAGTGGTTAAGTGCGCGGACTCTAATCTGGGAGAACCAGGTTTGATTCCCCACTCCTCCACTTGCACCTGGCTGGATGACCTTGGGCAAGCCGTAGTTCTGATAAGAGCTGTTCTTGAAAAAGAGCAGTTTCTGTCAAGAGCTCTCTCAGCCCCACCTACCTCACAGGGTGTCTGTTGTGGGGAGGGGAAGGGAAAGGAGTTTGTAAGACGCTCTGAGACACCTT